CCTCCACTCCCCTTTTCCCTACGTCCTCATTCACTCTGTAGTGGCAGAGCTTGAGAGTGCCAGACGGGTCATCAGTGACCGGGAGACTCCCTGTCGTCGTAGTACACCCCTATGCCTGATATCCCCAGCTCATGCACACCCCCAACGAAGAAGAATATGAATCTTCACTGCAGCTGATCTTCCAAGCTTCCTCGCACTCGCATGGGAACTCTGTATCTTCTTCACTCCAACAAGCATTAAAAGAAATCTTCACTGCAACAAGCATTAAAAGAAATCTTCACTGCACTTCTTCTTCTTCTTCTTCTGCTGCTGCTGCTTCTGCTCCTGCTGCTTCTGCTCCTGCTGCTTCTGCTGCTGCTTCTGCTGCTGGTTCTGCTTCTGTTTCTCCAAGCTTCTTGAAACTCCATCTTCACTGCTGGAACGAACGAATCTTGGGAGCTTCATTGCATGGACAAAATTTCAGTGTTCACTGCTCTCATGGCATCAAAGTTCAAACCCTTTCTTCTTTCACATGGTGTCCTCCATGTCAATAGGAAACTTGTCATCAAGCCACGTGGCATTTTGTGCGCGACCTAGGAACCAAGACCCCACAGCATCTCGCAGCACCTCATCTCCAATTCGAAGGCCAGTCCAGAACTCGCTCGAGTGCGTAACACAGTGAGAGGCAGCTGAGTACGCAAATACACCATCCTCCTGTCGTTCTATGGCCGGTCTCACAGCTTCGCGCATGCTTGCGTTAAAAGCCCGTAGGAACTGTGCTTGTGTTGAATTGCACTCGCTGTACATAATGCAGCCTTCCCAGTCGCCGTCGGGATCTGCCGACCTGGGCACGAAGATGTTGGCAAGACTCCACGTGTCGTAGTTGCTGTTCAAGACGAAGAAAGGGGTCTTGATGTGAGGAAGAAGGTACTGAGCAAAAAAGCACTTGTAGGAGGAGCTTGGGGAACGATCTTGCAGGCACGCCTTGTCGACGGTGCTTACGATGTTCTGCATATTGAACACCCTCTCATACTTTGGTTGGATCGTCAAAGTCCCAGTTATATCTGGTATATCTAAGAACATCCCTGCATCAGATAAGCACTTGACGACGGCATTGTTGTCCCCTAGTCTGCTTCGTATGTAATCGCAGTTCAAGAAGGTAGATAAGCCCCCGGCGGAGCAGCCACCGATCATAACATGTGTCGACTTGTTGAGCCCCGAAGCCATGAGATCATCGACGACAGCATCGACTATTCTACGTCCCCTGAAGAAGATCTTCTTGCCTTTCGACACCACAGCCGTGTCCACACCCCCAGCAAATGAACCTCCATCGCAGTAGTGCACGTACGCCACATTCCAGTTGTAGAAGTCGGGATTGACATCCTGCTTGTTAGAGAACATGCCACCGTACGTAACCCTTGGGCTCAGGTACTTGCTGGACCCCAGTCCTCCCTTGCTGCGCCAGACACACTCTCTCTTCGAGTAACACCATCCCCCTCCTTCGAAGAAGAGTATCCATCGCGTCGCGCCAGATCCTGCTCCTTTCCTGAAATGATAGGCCGGTGGAGTGCCATCTAAGCAGACAGCGCCAGTGGACAGGGCATCCTTGAGAATCCGAAGAGTCAAATACTTGGGAGGACCGGTAGGATGGTCGTGGAGAGGACAGAAAGACGGAAGACAGAAAGAGATGAACAGCCACGCAGCAGCGGGAATGAAGGCCAAGCCAAGCAGCGCTAATTGATGACGCCGTATCCACGACCAAAATTCAACGATCCTGTTGTGGGAGCCCCTGGCCGCCATAGCCATCGCCGGGTTAACTCACGCTGTAACTGCTATATGTTTTCTTCTCTCCCACTTCGCTCCGCTTCAACGCTAATCCACCACCTCCTCCTCCTCCTCTGGATGCCTCCTCTCGATGCCTCCTTCTGCCTCCCTCCCTCGTCTTCTCCTTCGTCTGCCACCTCTGCGTCCTGCTCTCCCTCCTTCTTTGCCCTCCTTTCCCCTCTTCTCCTTCTTCTACCACCTCTGCTCTCTCCTCCCTCCTCTCCTTCTTCTCCCACTTCTCCCTCCTCCCCTCCTTCGTCTCCCGCTTCTGCCTCCTTCTCTCCCTCCTCCTCCTCCTCCCCCTCTTCGTTCGATCCTCGTTACCTACTCCTTCCTTCCTTCCCTCCACCGGACACGTGGCGCAACCGTTCGCTGCCGACGACAACTTCCCGGCGACTTCCCGGTAATTTCCAGGACCGTCCTCTGCGCGCCAAGTTCCTTTGCGCCTTTGCGCGCCAAGTTCTTGTGGCCGTGTGAACAGAATTAGGATCTCGCACCCGCCTGGCCTGATGCTGCTTCCGTTTCCCAGGACGTCACTCGAAATGTGAAACCGTTTTGTGTTTCAACCTCTGTGTCTAACGAGACCCATAACAATTCGGCCACACAAGCATTTGCTATATGTATTTGACTGCAATTACAGCTAGAAACGGATGTATCTTAACTCATTCAAGCCGAGAGCTTAGAACAAAAAGCCCCTCTCAGGGAATTACCTGTAGCTGGGCAGCACTACAGCAGCTTAACCCAAAATAGGAATTGCACGGATGACGCATTGCTCACACTACCGTCGTCACTTGAATAGAACGCCCGTTCATTATAGCTGTATGTTTGGTGCAACGTTCAGTCTAGATACAGTGATAATGACCGGGCTTTCTATTCAGGGGAAGATGGTAGCACTATCTTCGATGTATCTGACCGCATTTACAGCCGCGGACGGGAACAGGTAAAAGAAGTGCTGGTGTGAATAATGCCGCAACTGTGTCGCGGTAACTGTAAACAGTAATTAGCCTGTGCCATAGCACTACCTTCCATGCATCTGACGGCATTTACTGCCGGACAGGAACAGGTAAAAGAAGTGCTGGTGTGAACGCATTAATCGAGAAATGGTCCAAAATTTTGATGTTTTAAAAAATGACATAAATGAAAATTCATTAAAAAATATATATATATATGCCGCAACTGTGTCGCGGTAACTGTAAACGGTAATTACCCTGTGCCATGCCGGCCGGTGGTCGAAGGGAGCACCTATTTTTACCACACCTTGGGAAGGCCCTACCGGTAGTTGCACCACTCGCCGTGAATGCATCTGGCCATGCATCCGGACGCATCTGGACAGATGCCTGTCCAGACGCGTTGATAATTTTGGCGAATGCAGAATGGTGCAACTACTGGTAGGCCCTAACTGTGCGGTGGTAACTGTCGGCCCTCACTGCGCGGTGGTAACTGGGGACATAATTCGCCTGGGTGGAGATTGGTGTGAGCGCGCCGGGGTGTGACGTGTGTGGGACACTGTGTGCTCTGTGGGACATGGAAATGGCAGGCCCATTATGCATTCGGATCATCTCGATCAATCAAAATGAGAACGAATTTTCACGAGAACACTCAGGCCATTCTTTTCGTGTGTGCGGTGGAGCGAGGCCAGCCACAGAACGGGCACCTCCCACCCTCGCTCCACGGGGTGAAGCGGCCATGTCAAGGTTCAAGAACTCGAACAGTCGAGAGTTTAGCTTTTAGCACTTTTATTTATTTATTTATTTATTTATTTATTTATTTTATTGTATCTCAATTTTTTTGAGGACTTTTAGGTTTTAGGACTGTCTTTCTTCAAGCGGCCTTGGTAAGGCACCCAAGTGGCATTCAGGAGGTCGTGGGTCCAATCCCCAATGCTCACTGGTAGCACTCTTGGTACCAACCAACTGAGATAGATGGCTTAATCCCCTCCGGTTCAGCCAATTGGGAGAGGGGAGAAGGGCAGGTGACGAGACCCGCTGTTGAAGAAAACCTTTGGCACATTTGGCACATATACTAGTCCCACCATTCGAGTGGGACAACCAGAGGGGGTCGTCGTTAACGAAAGTGACCCCGACAAAGACCCCTGCTTCTGCTTTGCTCACATTTTACCCCGCCGGGAGCAAGCCAATGGCTTGGGATAACATACCAGAGCAAAGCATATAGAGCAGAAGATGTTTCGTTTCTGGTTCGAGGGGCTGTTTTGAAAAGGAAAAAAAGAAAAAAGAACGGGTGAAAAGCAGGCTAGCTATAAGCAGGGGAGCATTTGAAATCTTGGGACATGGCCTGCAGGCCTAGCTCATTTTGTAAGGCACAGAAGTCGCAGGTTGTGGTTCAATCCCATTGGTCTCACGTATGTGGCTGGGCAAGCTTGGTGTTCTACCAGCTAGAGATAACCTGTTGGCCCCCAAGTCAGCATTGGCAGGACCTTGGCCAATGTTATTGTTTGCTATGCAAACAATGATAGTGGCCATTAGACACCGCTAATGTGGGGTTGGGGGGGGGGGGGGCGTGTAGGCAGAGCTGTAGCGACTGGCCATAGTGCTCGGCACTTGCACCGCCGGTTTCCCCCATAGGCAATGTCTGCCCACCCCCATCACCATGATGAGGGGCTGGTACAGCCTTACTTTTGCACCACTGCTATGGTGCAAACCTACCCAGTGGGCTGGGGAGAGATCCGGTGTCGAGCGCATCGGTCTGGCACCGCACAAGGCAGCGCAGGACCCTCCCGGCCGCGTCACGCAGGAGTTGGTTTTAATCCTTCGTCGCGAATATACATGGAGCTTCCGCAAGCTGCTCCGACTGAGTGCGCCAGCCATACCTCTCGTGAGCCCCTACGACGGGATAGGGCCTACGCGAGGCACGACTTACCTCCACCTTACGGGAGTTGTGACCTCCCTTCGGTGGGCGTATCCCTGCCGAGCTACCAATCCACAGTACGAAAGCTGATCAACTGCAATCGCAAAGGTGGACCAGCCGAGGGCGTTTCTCGTTCGCTGTAGCATAAGGGGTACGCGCGGTATTACGCCTCTATTGAACCCGCACGCGAACCGGCATCTTAGGGGGGTGAGGTCCCAAGCGCGACTCGTCGCCGGTCGACTAGGACGCATCCCACACGCCACGCGCACACCACTATAAAGAACGTAAAAATAAAACAAACACATACACGCACGTACATATACTTATACAGAACGACACTGAACAAACAATGCGACAACACTCCTAGTCCCTTAATAGTCATCCCATAACTCTCCGGTGCGGAAGTCGGATAGGCGTCGTGCGCGAGACTTAGTATAAAACCACGTGGACGCAGGACTAACTCATATCGACTCGCAATGCACACATACGCAAGCAGTCGCAATGATGGCGTACTATGTAGTACCCATACTCGTGCGGTCCTCGTTAATCTCGAGGGTCGCATTCGACACTCAAGTGTGGGCTGGCACGCGCCTTGAGAGATTGATCTCTCGATGCTGGACAACTGCCAAGTGCGGTTGAAAACCACACCCTCTTCTGCACCCTACGGAGAGTGGGTGGTACACAGGTTCATACATGTGGTGACAATCGTCTCTTATCGCCCTGGAGACCAACTTCTTCATCTAGGGTATGGAGATAAATCAAGGGGTTTGACTATGACGACTGCCACGGACTACAACGTCCAACTATAAAAAACTCTAAAAAGTAAAGGATAAAATGAAATCTTACTTTTCTCTAAAAAAAACATAATTTGTTTAACCCTTACAAGCGGTCACAGTAGGCCGCGCGAAACACTTAAGACAAATTTATTTACATATATATAGAGGGTTATAAATATGCGACGATCACTTCTCACAATCACAGTGAGACCCCTCGCAGCCATATATCGTTTGTTGTCCTCTTCTCCCTCTCTGCCTACGGTTTACCGGACAGTTCTATTTGACGATATATATATATATGTATGTGAGCGCAGACAGTTAAATCCAAAGTCCGAATCACCAAACTTACCTGCAATCACATCAAAGATTCAACCAAAAATTCATGCACTACACGGGGTCAACTTCAACCATTTTCTGCACTCACACCCCCCGCTTTAGTCGTACAAGCCTTACTCTTGTGCAACTCTTCAAAATAAAAATACTCGTTACTTTTTTTAAAATGGTCATTCAAATAAAGTTCGGGCGAAAACACAACAAAACAGTTCAAATCACAAGGTTAAAACCTTTAGGTTGAGTGGCAACAGTGAATTGGAGTTGAGTCATAAACCAACGAATCGACAACCGACTTGTTATCAGTGATAACAGAAGATGTTCCTCGTAGGATCAGACTGAATCTATCCCAAATCCTGAATCAATCGATCAAGAAAACCGGTTACACAAGACAGACCAACCCCCGAGCTAAATCTATAAGTTCATAGAGAATAATCTTCATATTACGATCTTGTTAAAAATCATTATATTCAACTAAGCCTAGGTCTACGTCTAAGCAAGTGCCAGAAAGGTAGACCCTGACAGAATCTCTTTTATACAGAGTGAATTTCCAAGATTGTCACCTGTCAAAATATAATCGTACTCCTCTAAACTAAGAAAATTTCGGCGGCGCTTCTCGTAGGAAAAGTGTTTTCTTTGAATTTATAATAATTCAAAAATGAAAACAAAAATCAGTTATAATTCTGGAAAGTTAAATTTTGTCTAACTCCCTGAACTAGTAAAAATTTGGGCAGCACTCCCCTTTAGAAAAGATTTTTTTCCAGATTTTTACTAAGTCGGACATAAACTCAGAAGCAAGACATGAGTTCGACTAAGACAAAAATTCAATTAACTCCTTAGATTTGTAAAAATTTCGACAACACTTATTTTTTAAAAATGTTAATCCAAAATTTCTACAAAGCAAAGTTCAGAATCTAAAGTGACTTTGATTACTCAAGGTCCAATTTTGTCTAACTTTCTGAATTAGCAAAAATTTGGACAGCACTCCCTTTAGAAAATAAGGTTTTTCAAATTTTTACTACGCCAAAAAGTCTAAAAAACTGAACCCTGAAAAATACAAAATCTGACTAACTCCTTGGTTTTGTAAAAATTTCGGCATCGCTTCTTGTAGAGAAAGTGACTTACCAAAATTTATACAAGACCAAGTATAATAAATGATCCCAGAAAATGCAGGAATTGAAACTAACTCCTATGACTCCAGCACGTGACGAGCGTTTAAAGCAACTACCTATCAAACTGAAACTCAGACTAAGTAGTAATCTCACTCAGTCACATGCAAGGCCAAACCACAAAGGTAAGTTCTCTCACCATCCCAAAGTCAACTCATATAAGATAGTTCATGAATCCTCAAGTAATTCAACCCTTATACCCAACTTACATATGACATAATGCTAGACCATTCAGCTTAGAAACAATGTCTAGC